AAGGGACAAACCCAGCTATTGGGTTGTTTTGACCCAGCTATTGGGTTGTTTTGACCCAGCTATTGGGCTGTTTTGACCATAATATCATTATTACAGTTATTGTTACACTCTAAAAAATGCTGGGTTCCCCAGCGCTGGGTTATATTTAACCCAGCATTTTTTAGAGTGTAACAATAACTGTAATAATGATATTTGAGTGTAAACTACCACTGTGATTTATTTAAGATTATTTATATGTAAGGTGTCCAATTCAAACTGTGGAATTGTTTGTTTTAGTAGAATATACTCATTTTTACTTTTCATTCCTTTCAAATTTCTATAAATAATGTAAATCCTTACATATGAGATTTCAACCACAGATTTAGTTGTAAAATCATACACAGCCGAACTTGATATAAAATGTCCCCCAGTGGCACTGGTATTATGGCCTAATAAAGCAATGGCAACAGTGGAAAAAGGGTGCAAAGGAATTGATAAAAATAGCTGCTATGATACTCAACACCTCAGGATATTGCTGCAAAGGACAGAAGTTCATTCCAAATGTAATGAAAGACAAACAAAGCCCAGACAAAAAATTGTAATTATGAAAATAATTCATCTTACACAGATTCCATTAAACTTTGTCTTTTATTAAACTTAAATATGTATACTGAAACCCTCAACATCCTGTCAATGAGAGATTCCTGTAAAAGAAAAAGATTATTACCATCTAGTGGCTATATAATGTATAACAATTCCACTAGACAGGCAACAAAGCAATTAGCATCATATCACTTGCTCACCAATGGATCCTCAGCAGTGAATGGGTGCCGTCAGAGTCCAAACAGCTGGTAAAAATATAAAAATAATCCAGAACTAAACCACATGACTCCAGTCCCATTAATTAATGTCTTTTGAATTAAAATCCATCTTCCAGGTAAAACATGAGTCCTCAAATATTGCTTTACCCAGTTAAAAATTTGCTTTGTTTGAATCAGGAGAGAAATATGCACAGATCAAGGAAAGAAAAAAAAACACAGTCCAAAACAGTTCTAAACAAACATTTTTAGTGGAATATTTCATTGGATTTTGATGCGAGAGGACAACATGGGATGGACTATTTTCACTGGAAGAAGTGGATTTTGGACTCATATTTCGGCACCCATTCACTGCAGAGAATCTATTGGTGAGCAAGTGATGTAATGCTACATTTCTCCAAATCTGATGAAAAACTAACTCATTTACATCTTGGACAGCCTGAGGGGTGAGTACATTTTCAACAAATTTTCATTTTCAGATGAACTATTCCTTTAAGCTACAGGAACATTTGACAAATCAGTACATTATTTGAAGCTTGACAGAGAAAACAAACACATTTTGAGAGCGCAGGGTCCTCTCAGGTGCCGCACTCTCTCTCCGTCTGTGTATGGAGCCTCCCAAGGACAGATATGAGATTTTTATCAGGTAACAGAAATCTCCATGTTTGCATGCCACCTATCAGAAACATTTCCACCCTTTTAATCTTATCTGACCACTCAGACATACCTCTGTGTTCCCGACTGACACGAAATGCGTCTCTAAAAAACAACCCCACCAGACTCACAGTCTGGACGACACTGCTCCAAGACCGATCTAATTGAGATGCAGGGCAACTTGCCTAAAGACTTTACAAAATTGCGGGTGACAGATGGAGGCCTTAATTAGAGCTCACCCAACTGTGAATTAAAGTGATGTGAGATCATGTCATGACACCATATCCTGTTTGGCTAGCAGTGCCATGGCGGTATCTCTCTCACTCAAGCTAATGCAGCTCAGAACACTTAGGCTGTCACTATTTATCAAAACGGCCACCATGTCCTGTGACTCTGCTGCACTGGACTGCACTTTCTGTGGTTGGAAGTCATGCGTCATTCACTTTTCTTGTTTGCATTGTACGCGAGTAGAGAACGACACTCTCTTGGAGCGCTGACATAATGGAAGTGTGGGTGCTTAAAATACGATGGAAATCATAAGGTCTAATGCTGTCTGCAGGGACAGTGTGACCACTGAGGGTGGTGTTGATGTGGAGTGTGCGTCGGGCTGTTTGACACGTGGCAGGGTAAGATATCTGTGTCTGAAAGGAACAGGGCCTGCCCTAAGAGATAATAAGAGAGGTAAGGGGACAATGCCATCAGCTGGAGTTAAGAGAGGGGAGGCGGATGGGGAGCCACTCATGCTCCTTTCCATTGCGTTAACTCATGTAAGTGTGTTTTATAATATTGAATGTGCATTTTGACCTGAAAATGGCAGTTATTGTTATTGCACGACTGACTTTGCTTACACAAGGTATAGCAAGTTCTGCAAAATTGCTTGTTACCTTGTGGCACTTGTGGTGTTTCAAATCAAAAATCAGCAGCCTTCAAAGAACACAAGATTTGGTGATCATATAGCATAATTACACTGTAAAAAATGACCGTGAATTTAACGGTAAAAGACTTCAGTTAAAACCGTAAAACCTAAAATGTTGCTACCGTATTTTTTACGGTAAAATTCCGGCAACCACAGCTGCCGTTTTTTTACCGTAAATTTTACGGAATTATTTTTACAGTGTAGAGATGTACATGCAATTTATAAAGGCCAGTCATTTTTTTTTTTTTTTTTTACCAGGAACATCAAATTAGGTAAAGAATTATATTTAAAGGTATATTTAAAAAACTGTACTTGCACATTATATAATATTAATGAAATAAAAGGGCTTAAGTACTTAAAGACAGTACACTATGAATGTTGTGTCTTGACACACTTGAGTACTAAATTGTCAAACATATTACATATAAAGACCCTACTTCAGTGGGTCACAAACAGCATTCTAAAGTTCAGCTAACTGCATTTAATATAAATTTAAACTATAATACATTTTCATTCAATTGCATTTTGTAATTCGCATTTCAATTGCAATCAACAGATTATTTCTGAAAGCTACTTAAAATGCACTCAAATGGAGTTGAAAATGAGTTAATAGTGAAGGACAAATGGGCCATAGTGTGTGCAGAGTAATAGGAGTTGTCATTAAAAGGAATGAGAGAGCAAAAACATTAGCTCCTACAAATATGTACAAATGTGAATCTTATGACACCTATCAAAAACTTGTCCAGGTCCTATACCATCCCACAATAAAACAACAAAACAATAAAATGGTGAAGAAACAATTTTCACTCAAGATTACAAAAAATGGCTAGTAACACACTGAATTAAATAGTGAAACTGAAAGATTTTGTTATAAAATGTACTCCAATATTCTTTGTTTTATACACAATTTTGAGAAATCTTTTTTTTAAGTTTATATTTAGCAAAAGGAAAATTAATTTTTAAATAATTTTCTTGCATTACAAAAATATTTTTAGGACAATTAAATTAATTTTACCCCAAAATCTCATAGTTTTTATCATTCTCATTATTCTCAATGATGATTATAATCGCAAATGTTAATACATTTTTTTTTTTGTAGAAACAGACAAACATAACCTGCCATGATTTATAAATGCTCCATACTAGTTAAAACAAGAAAATGTGCATAACAATGAGGAACATTTTGGAGAATGTGCTTAATTTTCATGAAAATAATGTCATGTCATGTTATAATATAACCTATTTTTTTTATTCTGGGGTGAAATGTGACCTGTACATGTTCTTAGGGTGACAGGTTTTGTGAGATTCACTCATATATGAATGTTTACACTCTCATGTCATAATAGAGACACTGTTAACACATGTACCAGCAAATATGTTGTCGTCACAGCTACACTGCATCAATTTCCATAAATAAAAGGCAGTATTCATATTCAAGTCAGCTATGATTTCAAACCGTCGTCAGAAAAACAGAGATTTGATTTCACAGCTATTCAGGTGTCACATGCAAAAACTAAGACAATAGAGGTGTCTTTGTAATTGCATCCCTGTCCCATATGATTATATGTCTCTTTCTCTCTCTTACACGCACACACAGTAAGACAACGCGTGGAGGAGTGTGGCAAGACCTGATGGATTACCGTGATTAAAACAGTGTAACAGGAGAGCTGCTCTCTCACATCTGGAGTCAACACACACTCACTCACAAAGCACAATGCTAACACTGTTTGGCCTAGCGTTATGTAATTGCCTGCGCTCCAGTCACACTGTCCTGCAGTATAAACTGTGTCTGGATGCGGTGACATGTTTCCAGGTGAACATCAAGGAAGTTCCAACGCCAAAGCTGGTGGCAGAGAGGAAAGGATTGTGGGATATATTTATTTTGAAACAGCAACAACATCATTGTTGTTATTTACACAGCAAAATGATAGTTTTAAAAAGCTTGACAGACTCAGTCCCCATCCACTTTAACTATATGCACAGACCCTTGTGAAAGACAAGTGTGCTTAATTGTATTGAATGTGCACTTAGTGTACTTTAAATTTTAATAGTATAGGCCAGTGAATCTCAACCTTTTGGCGCACCGGACCCCAGTCCAATTCAGAACCATCCTCAAGGACCCCCAGAACAAAATTGACTCATCTATGTATCATTTGTGTCTTTGTGAGGACCAAATGCAGTCAAGTATAATTCAAGTTAGTTGACTTGTCCAGTATTTGGCCATATCATCAGCTATATTGGATTTTTCTTTCATGGGAACATGTCATGTCAAAATATACAAAATGTATACAAAAATTCATACTTTATACAGACCCCCTGGCCTTACGTCAAGGACCACTAGGGGTCCACGGACCCCTGGTTGAGAAACACATAGGCTACTTAAAAGCTGAACTTGTATATATGAAATATGAAATAAATGCACTTAAAGTCCCCATGAAATCAAAATTAAAGTTTTTTGGGTGTAAAGGGGCGGGGCTGCTTGATATGTCCCGCCCTGTCTTCCTGTTTCAGTTAAAATGACGTCAACACATAGAGTAACGCTACGTGTTTCTAAGCATTTCAGGGGACCTTTAAAGGGATAAACCTTTCTCGACTGTTTCTTAGCACTTTTAAAAAGTGAACTTTGTAATAATGTCAAATTGAGTTATTGATTATGTGTGAATAATTTTTTTGTCATGCTTTAAAGTAGTACATTTATTTTGATGTGTTGACTAACATACTAAAGCACATATAAAGCATTTGATATAATCTTTTGATATTACATTTAACGTTAATTTATTTTAAATGCACTAAATTGCAGCTTCATTAAAAATATGATATTTACAAATATATTTAAATACACAGTATCATTTCAAAGTATATTTTACTTTACCATAAATGCTTGTCAGTACATTTGGCAGTATACACATATTTCAGAGAAAGTAGAAGTGATTACCAAGATATTACATGTAAAACTGCATTAATTACATTTACATGTATTATTATGTATTAATGTATACTTAATTCCAGCTTAAGTAAAAGCACTAAAGTTCAGTTCTGTTTTATAAGTATATTATTTTTTATAATTTATTTTTGTTATTAGTAATCTTTCTAAACATATGCTGATGTTTTTCACAGCATTTAGCAATATGATTCCACAGAAGAAATAAAGTCACAGTTTTGGAACTGCATGAGGGTGAGTAAATATTGGCAACATTTTTTGGGTGAACTGTTCCTGGTAAGACACCAACAGAGATTCTTTTGGTGTCAAGTGAAGCCAATTTTGAATGTTTACAAATATAATTTTCCAATTCAATTAACCTGCTGTTTTTGGACACCATCAGTACTGATATATTTCAGAGCAAGACATTCCTTATATTCCTAGGATAATTCGAAGGAAAACCAGATCTGTCCTCAGATCACTGACGGGGAAAGTTTGTCCCTCAGCATGAGTGTGTTTACACTGCGTCTGTCACTCTTTATAGGGCTGTGTGCTGATAAAGGATCGGTTTCTTTGTGATGTGTATTTAGGAGCCAGAGAAGGAGGAAGAGAGAGAGATAAATAGTGATCTCCAGCTTCTGTAGAAGATAAACAGAGAAATACCGTTCCACACCTCCTCTTCCCTCAGATCTGTACTTAAAGGGATAGTTCACCCAAAAATGAAAATTCTGTCATCATTTACTCACCCTCATGTCGTTCCAAACCTGTATGAGTTGCTTTCTTATGTTGAACATAAAATAAGATATTTTGAAGGTTGCTGGTAATCAAACAGTTGGTGGTTGCCATTGACTTCCATAGTATTTTTTTTTCCTACTATGGACTCATACAGGTTTGGAACGACATGAGGGTGAGTAAATGATGACAGAATTTTCATTTTTGGGTGAACTTAGGTGAACTATCCCTTTAAGGGTGAAAGGATTCCTTGGATGGTAAATGATTTAAAAGCTAATATTTAGTTGGAATGTTTTAAAAAGTAAATGGAAAACAGGAGTTTGAGTCATTCGGAATAAATTTGCCACAATATGTCTGTTCATACACATATGAGTATTAACCAGGGCCGTGCACAGACCTTTTGAGGGGCATGTGCTGAAACTGAAAAAGGGCACCCTTATGGTATGATAGCTTGGCATTATACAGTGCAAAGTATATCTGGCCTAGATGTAAAGTAGGCTATAACAATGGGCCTCCTGGGTAGTTGTCATTATTATTTGTAGGGTCCTGTGTTTGTGAATTGCTCTTGTGTACTCACTCTTTTTTTAATTGTATTATATATATCAGTGAATGTGTGCAAATGTGCATTTTGTCCGTCATTAAAACGGCGGCGTTACGTTTTCATCACCAGGTGTTTGTTGTAGCTATATGGGCGCGGCGCTCAGTTTCAAATACATAAATTATGAGCCTTTATAGACATAGTGTTTCTTGCGTGAAGAAAACGCTGTACTTATTCAAACAACAAGATCTTTATTTACCCTTGCAGACCTAGTTCAGCTGCTGTGGAACTTCAGTTCATTCAGTCAAGATAGAGGGGGTGGAGTTATGGGGTTTACTGACAGTTTGAGCGGATCCAACAAGATTTAGTCACAAGCTCTTTTTAATACCTTTCATTAGCTAAATATTTGTAAAGCAGACAGACAGATGTAAAGGGTGACCAATATCATTGATTTATTGAAGGAAAAAAAAACACCATCACCAAAAAAAGGGCACTTTGGAGTGTAAGGGCAAAAAGGGCATGTGCTCTGCACAGGTTGAGCCCGACCTGTGCACGTGCCTGGTATTAACAAAGAGTCAACGATTAAATATATACACATATTCACACAAAATGCAAGAAAATAATTGTGTCATTTATAGATAAAAAAAAAAAAGAATAATGGATCATACTTTTGAACGGACTCAGAATAAATCTCAAACAATTTGTTAAAACATTATTACTAATTAACGAATACATTATTACAAAAATTGTATCTTATTAATATTAAATAATGGGCTATAACATGAACTCACAACAGAACAGTTGAAGTTAACTAACGTTAACAATGATTCATAAATACTGTAACAAATGTATTATTATTGTTATTTTTAGTTAAAGTATTAACTAACATTAACTCATGGGGCCTTAATGTAAAGTGTTACCATTTTAACATTGTGGACTGAATTAGGTGATCAATCTTAGGAACCTTAAGTGCAGCAGAATTTTTTTTGTAACCTTGGCCAGATCTGTGCCTTGCCACAATTCTGTCTCTGAGCTCTTCAGGCAGTTCCTTTGACCTCATGATTCTCATTTGCTCTGACATGCACTGTGAGCTGTAAGGTCTTATATAGACAGGTGTGTGGCCTTCCTAATCAAGTCCAATCAGTATAATCAAACACAGCTGGACTCAAATGAAGGTGTAGAACCATCTCAAGGATGATCAGAAGAAATGGACAGCACCTGAGTTAAATATATGAGTGTCACAGCAAAGGGTCTGAATACTTAGGACCATGTGATATTTCAGTTTTTCTTTTTTAATAAATCTGCAAAAATGTCAACAATTCTGTGTTTTTCTGTCAATATGGGGTGCTGTGTGTACATTAATGAGGAAAAAAAATTTACTCAAATGATTTTAGCAAATGGCTGCAATATAACAAAGAGTGAAAAATTGAAGGGGGTCTGAATACTTTCCGCACCCACTGTATATATATATATTAATAACTGAGACCTCTAAGGTAGGAGAAAGTAAGCTGAAGACAATGAACCGAACAAATGAGAGCGAGTGTGTGTTTCTAGCAGTGCAGTGAGGTTTCACCTCTTTGTTTTGCAAAGCTGAACTTTCTGGGCAACCACACAACTGCTTTTAACCTCCCAGTGAGAGCAATATAATGGAAATCTACACTGTAGCTGGACACGTGGATGGCCGGCTCTGTCTAACCAATGTTAAGTGCCACGTATTTACAGTACAGTAGTCTATATATGACTATAATAATAAATGTGTGTAGGGGTGAATGAAAATGTGTTTGTTATATGATTTGAAAGGTATACCTGGAGATTCTGACCATTCTGGGGTGGTTTTTCCACAGGTTCATGTTTGAGCCTTATGTAACATACTCCTTCCATTAAAGGGATAGTTCACCCAAAAATGAAAATTCTGTCATGATTTACTCATCCTCAAGTTGTTCTAAACCTGTATGAGTGTTGGTAACTAGACAGTTGCCGGTAGCTATTGAGTTCCATAGTATGTTTTTCAATACTATGACAGTCTGTGCTACTGTTTATATACTGTTTGTTTCCCAACATTTTTCAAAGTATCTTCTTTTGTGTTCAGCAGAAGAAAGAAACTCATACAGGTTTGAAACAACATTAGGGTTTTCATTTTTGGGTGAACTATACCTTAAAGACGTGTTTACTGCAAATGGATCATATTCATATTACTTGAGCTTAAGGTAAGGCTGTGCTGATAATTACAATTTACGTCAGTTTGATAAACTGTGTTGTGGGTTCTTGGCTTTTAATTGTTTACTGCTCTTTTAATGTGACAATTTGATCACCTAATTCAGTCCACAATGTTAAAATGGTAACACTTTACATTAAGGCCCCATGAGTTAATGTTAGTTAATACTTTAACTAAAAATAACAATAATAATACATTTGTTACAGTATTTATGAATCATTGTTAACGTTAGTTAACTTCAACTGTTCTGTTGTGAGTTCATGTTATAGCCCATTATTTAATATTAACAAGATACAATTTTTGTAATAATGTATTCGTTAATTAGTAATAATGTGTTAAATTGTAAAGTGTTACTTTGGAATTTGTTTGAGATTTATTCTGAGTCCGTTCAAAAGCATGATCCATTATTCTTTTTTTAATCTATAAATGACACAATTCTTTTCTTGCATTTTTTGTGAGTATGTGTGAAAATTTTATCACGCTAGAGACAAATTGGAATGATAGTCTAAATTTGATAAAAAAAAAAAAAAGAAACTTTTACATTTTATATTGGGTGATTTGAGATATTTGAATTATCATATTTTCATAGCAATCCTAAAGTAATGTGATAGTGATTACTAAGTGCCAACCTGATGCATCCTTTGACTACAGTGGAAAAAAGCTCTCTAGTTCTCTCCCTCTTACTCGTCTAGTCTTTCCATCAGCTCCTTTGATCAGCGTTTCATATTAGAGAGGGGCTGATCTCAGCTTTGAGACTCCAGCATAAATCATCTACTCAGCGATCACATGAATAACGGCCCAATCATCTCAGTTAACACATGCTGTTCATCCCTGCCCTCCCAGCAGCCATCAGCACCTGGCGCATAAGAACTCACGCACACACATTAGAGACACAAACACACTGTATTATCTGTGTTTTGTCTGTCACACACTCTCACACCCACATTTCAATTCCCCACCGCTGTCACGCATGAGAGACCTATTAATAAGACAGAAATAGCAGCAGACATGGGAAAACAAGAACAGTGTTTCACTCTCTTCACTGTAATTTTTCTTGTATACATACTTTTCTACAACTAATCTGTTTTGGGGTTCTTTTTAAAAATGTCCTTCTCTCCTATCCCAGCTTTCTTACTACCTTTCAAAGACTTAATGACAGTATATGTAGCATTACCAAAATATTGCTCTGTTTCAGACTGGCCTTGTAGCATTGCTTCAACCAGTGCCAGGATCTACAATTTTTCATGTGGCAGATGATAAAATAGGTGAGAAAAATAAAAAACAAAAGTTTGGGGTCAGTAAGTTTCTTTGTGATTTTCCTTTATGCTCAGCAAGGCTGTATTTATTTGGACACAGTAAAACTGTAATATTGAGGAATATTATTACAATTGTAAAGAACTGTTCTCTATTGAAATATATTTTAAAAAGTACAGTTATTTATTTCTGGCATGGCAAAGCTTGGCAATTTTTTTTTAAATCATAAATTAATCCAGTCTTCAGTGTCACGTGATCCTTCAGAGATCATTATAATAGGCTTTTAGAAACATTTCTTATTATTATCAATGTTGAAAAAATGTTGTGCTGCATAATTTTTTTTTTTGTGGAAACTGCATATGTAATGTGATGCATTTTTCAAGAATCTTTGGTTAATAGAAAAGAACAGCATTTATTTGAAATTAAAATCTTCTGTAACAAAAAAGTCTTTACTGTAACTTTTGAACAATTTAATGCATCCTTGTGGAATAAAAGTATGAATTTCTTTAATAAAACTGTTCCTACGCTGTTGGAATGTGTAGAGTAGACTGGCATTCAAAAGTTTGGGATCAATAGGATTTTTAATATTTTTTAAAGAAGCCTCTTCTGCTCATCAAGGCTGCATTTATTTGGTAAAAATTAGGGCCGTCAAATTAATCACATCCAAAATAAAAGTTTTTGTTTACATAATATCTGTGTGTGTACTGTGTATTTTTATTATGTATATATAAATACACACACATGCATGTATATATTTAAGAACAATATGTTAAGTTTATATATTAAATATATTTATATATAATATAAATTCTATGAATAGAAATATATACATGTAAATACATGCAAATATTTTCAAACTATATACTGTATACAGTATGTGTGTATTTATTTATAAATAATAAATATACACAGTACACACACAGATATTATGTAAAAAAAAACTTTTATTTTGGATGCGATTAATCGTGATTAATCGTTTGACAGCCCTAGTAAAAATACAGAAAAAACAGTAGTATTGTGAAATATTTTTACAATTTAAAATAATATTTTTTAATCACGATTAATCGCATCCAAAATAAACGTTTTTGTTTGCATAATATATGTGTGTGTGTTCTGTGTATTTTTATTATGTATATATAAATACACACACATGCATGTATATATTTAAGAACAATATGTTAAGTTTATATATTAAATATATTTATATATAATATAAATTCTATGAATAGAAATATATACATGTAAATACATGCAAATATTTTCAAACTATATACTGTATACAGTATGTGTGTATTTATTTATAAATAATAAATATACACAGTACACACACAGATATTATGTAAAAAAAAACTTTTATTTTGGATGCGATTAATCGTGATTAATCGTTTGACAGCCCTAGTAAAAATACAGAAAAAACAGTAGTATTGTGAAATATTTTTACAATTTAAAATAATATTAAGTTTACGTTAAAAACACACATGAGTTACAAAAAACAGTCAGTTAGGATGTTTTGCTCAAACTTTCGCCATGGCATTAGAACTAGTACACCGTTGTCGCTTGCGAAAAACACAATAACGGTGCCGTGGGTGTAAACTTACAGTTTAAGGGGCGGTAATATTATAATGAGATCCCTTTGCCACGTCACCAAGTGAGCGAAATCAGACGCGCTCGTTTTCTCAGATGCTTGCAGAAAAAAGCTTCCCAAAACAAAGTTACTGGGTTAATATTTTTCACGTTTCCTTGGTTGGTAGATGCACCGGGGACCTGATTATAGCATTTAAACCTGGAAAAGTCATATTTTCATGATATGTCACCTTTAATACACTAAAACGCAATTTAATTCTGTGATACAAAGCTGAATTTTCATCAGCCATTACTCCAGTCTTCAGTGTATCTTTTTATCAATTTAACACAGCCTTGTTAAATAAAATTATTAATTTCTTTAAAAAAAAAGAAAAGAAAATAATGTACTGACTCCAAACTTTTGAGCGGTAGTGTATAATGTTACAAAAGATTTCTATTTTAAATAAATGCTGTTCTTTTTAACATTTATTCATAAAAGTATACTGAAAAAGTATTACAGGTTCCAAAAAAGATTAAGCAGCACAACTGTTTCCAACATTGATAATAAATCAG